ACCTAATCCTAAATGTAACGCTAAACCTAACCCTAAACGTAATGCTAAACCTAACCCTAAACCTAATCCTAAATGTAACGCTAAACCTAACCCTAAACGTAATGCTAAACCTAACCCTAAACCTAATCCTAAATGTAACGCTAAACCTAACCCTAAACGTAATGCTAAACCTAACCCTAAATGTAATGCTAAACCTAACCCTTACCTTAAGTTAAAACGCCTTTCTGTCTCCACGCTGTTGTCTCCGCACTGATGACATTGAGGTTTTAGCGACACAGTTTAGTTGGGCGCGGTTTTGTCGTTTGCCCTTTTGTCGGGTCACGTTTTTTTCTATTACAAATCCTTATTGCTGGTTGTTACAAGGTGTAGCTTTTTTGACAAAGAAAACTATATTGGAACAAGAAAAAATAAAAATGAATTGAATTCTAAGAAGATCTTTGCACAGCTTTGTCTAGTATGTCAGTTGTGCTTTTTGCTAGATCAATGGTCCTTTTAGCAGTTATTCATGCCTTAGATATCTCACATCTCAACATAGACCATCCAGAATCTTCAACTTTAAATTGTTTTTAAATTGACAATTTTATAAATTGTCCAGAATTACTGGGAGTTGGGCAGTGCATGCATTTAATAAATGATTAGATACTTATGTTTAATTTTCCTCATTTTCTGTATTCTGCATCAATTTTTTTTTATTATTTTAGTAAGGGGAAGGAGCAAGAAATATGGAAGCATTGAAAGCCTACTCCCAAGCACTGGATATTTTTATTTAGCTAGATGTTACCAAGTATTACATATGTGTTTTAGATTCTGTACAAATGGGCATGCATGACACTTCATTCCTGCATTAAACCAAATGCGTATTTTTTGGATATCATGCATCAGCCATGGAATATAAATGTGCCAAGATGCAATTGCTTTAAGGTGTTCCTGATAGGTACCGTATGCCAGTTCACATGCACTTTATACCTTTTGCCCTTTGAATCTCATCACTACATAGCACTACTAGGTAATATGAATTTTAGAAGAATGAGGATAATGTTGATTGATTTAGAGTGATCTAAGTGTAATTATGAATCATGATGTGACATTATTTTAACATGCCTTACTTGCTAGAAAAAGATGAGTAAACTTCTTAAAGTTCTTCATAGTGCTATAAAATATATTAAAACATGTATTCTGAAATATTGTGAATTTTATTGTAATGTTTAAATGTAGAGTATTCAGCAGAGATTGGCTAAAATATTTTAATTTTGTATCGTGATAAATTACATATTTACAGGACCAGACTTGCACAATATAACTGGAAACTTGCAGAATAAGAAAAAAAACACTGATTTTAATGAGATCACTACCAGTATTCCCAGTTTTTTCCAGGGGTAAGTGGATTAAAATATTACACAACATTCTTTTTGTTCTAGCTTCAATCGCCTTGATACAACTGCATGTCTCATGTTTTCATTTTAGAGAGAAAAATGATTCCTCGAGAGAGGCTGAATTGGTTTTTGGTGGACGCAAACCATTAACACAATTAAATAAGTCTAATCAGGTAGAACGCTTTATGTTTCTATAAATATTCCACAAATACAACATATTCTTTATGCTTCTGTTATATTTACTTACTGATTTCCATCTGATCAGTTCCATTGTATTTTATTATTTAGAAATGTATGTTTGGGAGAGTTCCTCTTCAATTAACAAATGAAAGTGAGAGTAATACAAATGAATCACTGAAGGTGGAAATTCCTACTGTTGTAAAGAGGTATGAAACAATGAAAACTGGCTATAGAGAAGGATTTTGGAATATTGACAGGAAAGAGTATCCTATGTGTACCTTGAAGTTGAAAGGACAGAGTCCTCAGTACATTGGCTTCAGTCTAGAGTTCCTATGTTGTACAGAATAGCATGAGCAAGCTAGGTTGCATTTGTGGCTTGCTAGCTGAAATATGAGAAAACTAAGGCTAATAGTTTAATCCACGCCCCATCTCTTACCAAATGTTACTTGAAAAGCCTTGTTTGACCAAGTAAATGATGGGCAGCAGAAGCCAAATATTTGTGTTCAAATTTCTGGTGATGACCAGGCCATATGGAAGATTCGGTTTTGAACTGAAGGGTAAAGAGTATGAATTAATGAAGGAATGAAATAAAAAAAATGGCTGGGTGATTTGGGGCCAGTTACTTTCTCTTAGCCCATTCACCCCACAGGGTTATTGTGGGGAAAATGAGGAAGAAGGAGTATTGGTATGTTCACCACCTTGAGTTGGAGATGAAGGAAGGTAGAATAAAAAAATAATAATAGATTTTTAGATATATGCAAAATTAGTTACATTTGTTTGTGGAAGGGGAAGGATGTAATAGATTTACTTTTAATTTCTTTTCCTCATGTTTTCTAATTTTTTGGCTTACTATTTCTTACTCCTTTTTTGTGGCTTGTATAACATACTTATCCTGAAAGGGAATAGATGTCCATGAAAGGAGCAATTAAGTTTTCTTTGGGATAATGTATCAGGTGTTAAATGCTTATGGTGAATAAGATAAAATACCAGAACAATTGGGTCTTTCTTCATGTCCCCCCCCCACCACACACATGTAGTAAACAGGGAAGGAGCAGATAACTTTCCAGACCTCTGAATAGCTTTAAAAAATTTGCTTAGATGTAAGTACAACTCTGGGGCACAAATTACTCTATTATAGACTAGTGTTTCAAACTCATTTACTTCTAAAATAAAATTTTGAATTAGGATTGTGAAAGGGCAGAAAGGATTACAAAGACAAACCCAAGGCCACAGGGTTTGGAAAATTTCTATTGAACTCTATTTGTTTTAAAGTGTTTGGATTAATTTAATAAGAAAAAGTGCTAAATTGAGACAGTTTGGCTATCTTGTGTGTTTCTTTTTTATAGTTATATTACTAGTAGCTTTTTTCATGCTAATTTTTAAGTACTGTTGCTTGTCTGGAACCTTGTAACTAAAATTTAATATTCTGTGAAACTAGGCAAACATCTGGAACTAATCTGATCCAGCTACTACAGCCTGAATCAAACCCTAACCAAAGTGGTCCTTATCTGCCCAGAGACTTGAAGGTAATAGAATACTCTGTTTCATGTCTATTCTTATCATTTATAAAGTTGTAAGAAGAAGAGTAAGAGGCATAGAATTTGATTGTGTAAATTGTGGGGAACTGCATCTAGAAATTACAGATACAAGTAAGAGATGCCGGGGGAGGGGAGGGGGCGCAGATATCAAAGTTCTAATTCTGGATGGAAAATCTGCTTCTTGATGTCCTTTCTCCACCCAGGAACACGGGGAAAGGGTTTCCTGCTGCTGACTCCTACACACTGAGAAAATTTTTGTGGGGAAATGCATCTAGAAGTTACTAAATGCCCCAACTGGGACATTTCATATCGCAGAGAAAATAGCAGACTTCTGCTTGCAATGCTAAAAAAAAAAACTTTTTTTCTAGCAGATGTGGGCCTTGATACTTTCAAACACCTCTTTCCTTTATCAAGAAAATAAAATGGTAACTGAAGGAAAGTCTCTCTTGCAGATGTTCTAGCTAGAGTAATTGTTAAATGTGGCTTACACTGCAAATAAAGAGCCTTACTTCAGCCATCCTTGGCAGAGGGGCAGACCAGTCGGTCCACAATTGGACATCTCCATTCTGCATACAATATTGATCCATGATAGCAATAGCAATAGCAGTTAGACTTATATACCGTTTCATAGGGCTTTCAGCCCTCTCTAAGCGGTTTACAGAGTCAGCATATTGCCCCCAACA